AAAGCAAAATTAGAAATTCAAATCACGCTCCTGAAGTTGATTTCAAATATTACAGAGAAAACTGACCAAATATTTATATTATTCGTAGGATATAGTATTAACAAAATTAATTACAATGGATAAATTTTGATGCGTAATCACATTTAAGTTTAATTTAAGGATAATATTACATTTTTAATGTTGCAAACAATTTTCAACATCGAATTAAAATCAAAGTTAAGAAATGTGGAATGAATACAAAAATGTAATATTAGGCACAATATTTTCATACAAAATAAAAATTACTTTATTCGTTTCGTTGATAAATGTTGAATTTTATTGTACTCATTGATTACAATATTTGGTCATGTAAGCAGATTTAAAAAAGTTACATGAAAAATTTGCAATAATTATATATTTAAGTGTTTGCACAAAAGAACATAATATTATACATGATAAACTTCACAAAATATATTTACATTTTACATTTAATTAATTTATTTTACATTTAATATTTTAAATTTTCAAACTTTCATATTTTTAGGTTAAAAAGTTTTAAGTTTCAAGATTTGAAAACTCAATATTTTAAAGGTAACAATTTTGTGTTTTATTATTAAAATATTGTTGAAGTAGATAATAATTCTTTAGATAGTAATAATTTCATTAAATCGTATAATTTTAAATATATACAAGTTTTTGTAACACTCATACAGGATGGTTCACCACATTTTGCCATCTAGATTTGCGTCATTATTATTACTCATAGCAAACAATGTTTCAGATGAAGTTGAATGGTTTTGAGAGGGGCATATGCTGGTGCTACATTTTTTTTTGTAGGTGGACATGTAAAGGATGTGTATGAAGGTCATTAATGTTTTTGTAAATGGAATCATATATTTTTTATTGCATCAGCTGACACTTTTTCATATTCTTTACAAAAAAGTATTAATCTATTTATGTGAAAAAATCATTAATTTAGGAGATATTTTAATTCTAACTTGTTAGGAAATCGTGACTTTCTGGTCAATATTATGAATTGCCCTAACTGAACAGCAAATATTTTTCTACATGATTTGAGAGGTCACGTGTCACCAAACGAATTGTGAGTTTTTTTTTTTTTTGTTACGCAGTAATAGTGAAGTTTAGTCTCTGTTACGTCTCTAATACGATGAATACGACGATACGGTGAATTATCACTTCATAATGAAGTATTCTAAAGAAGAAAAGATAGACGTGTTATCAGTTCATTTTGAAGCTGGGAAAAGTGCTACACATGCAGAAAGATTATACACTACGGAATGTTGGTAAGTCATTAATTTCTCGATTCAGAAAATGTTCTGATGCAAATGGTCGTCACATTGAACCTTTTCTGTAAATGGGCATTAAAATTAAAATATCTTCTAAACTAATGATTTTTTTACATAAAGAGATTAATACTTTTTTGTAAAGAATATGAAGGATTATCAGCTGATGCAACAAAAAATATATGATTCCATTTAAAAAAACATTAATGACCTTCATATGTCCTTTACACGTCCACCTACGAAAAAAATATACCACCAGCATATGCCCCTCTCAAAACCATTCAGCTTCATCTGAAACATTGTTTGCTATGAGTAATAATAATGACGCAAATCTAGATGGCAAAATGTGGTGAGCCACACTGTATATTGAGGTTTTTGCAGAAATTATAAAGAAAAGTGTATTACACAATGTATTAATTGATATAAATGTATGTGTGTTAATTTGTATAATGTAAAGTATTTATTGAACGGTAAAATAGACATCTATTGCTATAAAAGTAAACGTTATAAATTTTAATGTATAAAACGGTGTACGAAATTAAACACAATCGATCCCATGAATTCACAGGCAACGAAACAGAATAGCACAGAATGACAATCATATTACAATATTTATGTTATTGTATTAGTTGCAGTTATACGAAATCGATAATAGAATACAGTTGGTACGCATATGAATATTTGTTACAGTTATTAAAACGCAATAAACTTTATTCATACAATGAAACATCTTTCTTTATGCAGTAATTGTAACCTGAACTTAATATTCCATTGTAAAATAAAGAATATGCTTTCGTTATTATTATTTAATTGGTCTTTAGTAAGCCAGATAAATTTCATAAATGTAAAATTGATAAATAAGAAATGTATTAATGAGATTTCAAATAAATGCAGAAAGAAAGAACAGTATTTTCTGTGATATTAAAGATATATTATTACTCTAGTGTGTAACGATGCCAACGAGTTTATGGGACATGTTTAACTGTTTAATGAAGAAACATTCTCTTTTAGTGTAACGAGTCTGAAACTAAATACGCTCCGGAATTGAAACGAAATTACTGTTGTTTTAATGTGCTGTAGTAACTAACATATGTGTACTTAACATCTTCGGTTAAATGTTTTAGAAAATTATATAGTTCAATAACAGTATGTATACTATTTGTTTATATATTTTCCGACATTGTATATTTCTACATTTTTTTGTACATAATTAGATTTGAAAGCATTCGCGACATAACCTAAAATTTGTCATAATTCATGTATTTTAAATCATGTACTAATCAATATGTACTGTATATTCAGAATAATGAAATGCATGGATGTAATTGAAAATAGTAGTTAGTTAAATGTATGATTTTAATTTCTGAACATGCTGGTTTCAAATTTTCATATTTGGAAATTAAGAAATTAGGAAATTAAAAGATTAAGAAATTTGGAGTTTTGAAAAAGTAACAAATTGGAAATTTGGAAATCTGACTATTTAGAAATTGTGAAATTTGGAAATCTGAAAATTTAGAAATTGAGAAATTGGAAATCTGGAAATCTGGAAATCTGGAAATCTGAAAATCTGAAAATTTAGAAATTTCGAAATTTGAAAACCTGGAAATTCAGAAATTTAGCAATTTGAAAACGTGGAAATTCAGAAATTTAGCAATTTATAAATTTGGTAATGTAGAAACTTAAAAATTTGGAAACTTAATAATTTGGAAATGTAATAAAATGGAAACTGAGATTTCAGAAATCGGACAATCCAAAATATACGAAGTTAGAAATATATGTAAAACGTCAAATTTGTAAAGTTACGAATTTTCAAGTTTTCAAGCTTCTGAATTCGATAGTATTAAAATATTCGAGTATTGCAGTATCTGAGTATACAATGAACGTGCTAAAGCTGTTACAACAGCAATGGACAGTATAAAGTAATGTGTGAAAGAGAATTAGTTGCGTGTGCGTCACATACGTACGCTATATATACACAATATAATTCTCCTATCTGACACCTGTCGTGCGTTATCACTAGAAGTTTGTAACAGTATAATTCGTGTGCACTCACCGATAAATAAAATCATTTGTCAGTAAGTATAATTTACCAAAGTCTTCAAAACTATAACCTAACTCACGAGTCCTAATTTCCTGACCCCCATTCCATATCACTGAACAGATATTTTAACATCTCAAGTCGGGTTTGAATTTCTCGCATGAAACTTAACAGACCTTTCCGTAGTTACCCCTCGAAGAATACCGTACGGCAAGAAAGATAGCAAGAAATGGTATTCGCGATCATGCACGGGTGGTCTCGCCATTTCGTTTCCTTAACTGTCTGGCGCACGTATGATAAGCGAACCAGTATGTCCCGTAATAAATATTTTACTGCTACACCCGGAAGAAGGTGTGAAGTTAGGGTGTGGGTACTCGTCGAGAGGATACACGGGGTGGCTGTCTGCCTTTAAATTTAAAGTTTCTCCTCTCGTGGCAAGGATTAAACTGACTTTACAACAGGCGACGACCTATGCCCTCGACTATCCGATTCATCCTCGCATGGAGGGGAGGGAGGAAAGTGGTACGGCCTCCAGACGATGCATTGCCTTCTCAACACATATCTTACACCTTATTACATTTCTTAAATATGACCCGACGAGTACTAACGTCGACAATCTATTCTAAAGCCCGACGCCATGGTTTCTTGTCGAAGAGCCGAGCCAGAGGGGCTGCGGGCGGGCACCATTCTATATGCAAAATTTCACGGGCCGCGGAAGCGAAATAGCGAGTCAGGAAGCAAATGAAGTTCACCACGGAAAATAACGCTAGGAATTTCTGGACCAGCATCCCACCCACGACCCTAGTACCGTTCCCTTTTCATTTCTTCACGGTAATTTATATTCCCGGATTATCGGGCTTCGGGAGAATTTTAGATGTTAACTGGCCGACCGCGATGTTTTTCCACTCGGTGGATGGGTTCTTTTAGCTTCGCTAATGAATTGGGAATTTTCGCTCGGTTGATTCAGGGTCTTTCAGATTTGTTCGCTTTCTGAAAGATACTTATATCTATTCGACTCGTTATTTGATCTTCTCGGGATCATCTGCTTCTACAAGATGTTTCAGAGGTTGTGGTAAAAATGGTGGAAACGGACGTTAAAATGCTTGTGATAATCTTTTGATATTTTAAAGAACGGTATAATATTAAGTTAAAATATTTGAATGGATATCCGACTTTTTAAAACATGGTACGAAACTGTATCGAAATATAGAAGAATCTGTTAAAATGTTTGTACAAGCATCCAACATTTTAAAAAAAAGTATAGTAATATGTTAAAAAAAGGAAAAGAATTTCTTCAAAGAAATTCTTTAAAAATTTTTTAATAGAGTCAATTTACATTTACATTTAATAGTAATTCTGTCAAACTGGTCAAACGTTCACGAGTTTCTTATTTCAAATTACAAGATTTGTTAAGATGTTTCTCTTGTGATCTGTGCTGATTTTTACAAGAGATGAATAATTGGTGTATACTATATTCCATCATATTTTGTCGTTTGTTTGCTAAGTTTTCCATTTTATTTTTAATTTTAAAGTCTCACATTGAGTCCATCACGATATACATTAATATAGCAACAATATCAAAATAATAACTAATAATGTGTTTTAAGAGATTTAGCTTGTTTTGTAGGTCTTCTTTGATAGTTGACTATGTCACGCGAAAGTAACGTAAAACAACTCACCGGTAGATTGGTTCTTCTACTCCTTCTTTGTACCAAAACACCATGTTGACGTCGTCCTTGTCAGAAGGACGGATGTCACAAGGTAGTTGCACTTTGTTCCCTACTACCCCACTGACGGTAACCATCGAAACTGTAAAACAAGCAAAATCAAACATTATTAACAAAATATGAAAGCGTACGAAGGTATGCAGAATGTATATATAATCTAAATTTATAACATCAGTCAAGTTTTAAATTCTATTAATTCTTACTCTATAAGAAAAGAGGAATTCCGTGTGAACGTAACTTGTAATAACTTTGCTTTGCTAAAGTTGCTTAGAAGAATATGGAGCTACAAATATTCTTGATAAAAAAACGTATAATAAAATAAAATAAATGATATGTATAATGATGTCCAGACAGAATATTTCCCTTAAGTTGAATACATAGCTTATTTCCGCTGCTATTGAATTTACGAAAAAAAAACAAACTAAGAGAATTTATACGATTTCAAAGTCTTTTGATGTTACTAATTATACATGTGTATATACATTATATATATTCTGAAACAATACAAGAATTGATTTTGTTCTCCCTCTAATGGTACATTCGACTTAAATTCAAATAAATAAATATAGCAGTATAATTTACTGAATCGAAAGTACATTTTCTAAATTTCTTGATTTATCACAAATTATAGACAATAAACGCAATATAAATTTATACTATGATCTAATGAAACATTTACGCAGGGAAGTATAAAATAAAATTAACTTAACCCCTTGCAGTATAATGAACAAGACTCCTGACGCATTCGGAGTTTAGGTGTAATAAACTATCCCACACTTTTAGTACTCTTGAAGTTTCCAGTTTAGGTCTACTAATTTATACTGTTAAGGATCTCTGAATAAAGAGCGGGCATAGTAGTTCAACTTCTTTTACTCGTCTTAATATTGTCAATTGTTAACGTATCTGTCGAATAATTACAATAATAATTAAACAAGATCTACACTTCTTCATAATTTGTCACTGTTTACATCTAAAAATAAAAATTATTTTTTGAAAACTCTTCATATAAGAATGTTATAGTGTCGCTGTTACAGTAATGAAACGATTGGGTAAAACTTAGAAAAATCGAGATCAGCGTGTTTGATCTTTTTGCTTTGATCACATCGAAAGATAAATATAAATATATAAAGGTTGGCATAGTTTGGTATAGTTTAGCATACAAGTATTGACAGTTTTTAATTTTTGTTTAATTTTTCCAGAACAGAAGCTTTAGACAGGACATAAAGTAAAATCCTGATATCTAATTTTGTCTTATATCGAGTAAATTAAGTTCTATCCTCATTAAATATACAAATCACCATTTTCTAATAAAGGCGATTCAAGAATCTACTTTGTCTCCAACAAAAATAAACAGTACATTTCGGTAGAAACTCGAACGTACTCATCTTAATGGAATTACGTGAAATGTGTAAACTGTCGACGTTAAATACGAATTAGATTATCAGGGACAGTTAGAGCGAGCAATAATTAACCACATTCGTTCCGGGTAAAGTGGTTTCAGAAGCGAACAAGAATCCTGTCAGAGACATAGCTAAGGTGCTTTGCAGAAGTCACAAAGACATCGTTCGGAATTAGGTCTCATTACAGGAGAATTTAGCGGTGACGTACGCGCTGACGGTTAAGGTCGTGGCTTTCCAAGCAAGCTTAAGTTGTTCACCGCCAAGTCGTCTTGCCGGCTGATGGTGTAGACGGTGGTTAACGGGGGTTTGATGTCCTCACGGCCTCGTCTACCCGATTAGATTTACATGTAGATGGAGTTATCACGTTTTAACGAGCTACTCGCTAACGTACATACCACCGACAACCCTTATCTTTCATGGCTGACGTGTCTGCCCTGGTTGTCAGTCGAAATCAGCGATCGTTTCAAGGACGCTCGATGACCGATCGCTCCCAAGGATCTCATCGATCACCGCGACTGTTACTTTCTTGTTCCCTGGTCGATCGCAACAACCCTCGATTCTACGGATTTCCATCTTCAGCAAGACGTTGATACTTCTCTGTAACTTCGAGATGGAACCTCGAAATCTGAACACTGCGGCGGGATGGATAGTAGGATGAATATCTGGAGATGAACTGTTGGAAAGTTCGTTGAGACGTTTGGACTGACAAATGCCAGTAGTTTACGCAAAATGGCGTACTCGTATACCATGTAATACGCTATAATGCTTTCGGGAAAATTACTTCCTGAAACTTTTATTTGCTTACCAAAGCCATCATGTGTTCCCATAGAGCCAGCTACGGAAGGCAAGTAAAGTTACGATGAAATTGATGAACGTCGTCGAGAAGGTAGCAAATATTTATGAAAGACTTGTAATTATATAATTATGAAAGAATGGGTAATTATGTCTCTGTATCATCAAAGCTGTTATTTCCAGTGACATTTTGCACAATTGTGAAGCTCATATTACGCTTCTCTGTTACCCAAAAATGTTACATCCATATTATATTTTCTGTGTCACGAGGTTCTTTAATTTTCTTGCAAAATTTATCTCTGACCTCGGTAAAACAAAAAGCGTAAAAGGAAACAGTAAAGTAGCAATTACAGCATGAAAAAAGTCTCTTAAAAATTTGTAAGTAACTAGTACTTGGAACTCCACTAACTCTTAAAATAGAGTCTAATTAGATGAGTTACGAGAATTTTAAACTTTTCTGATTACAATCTTCACCTAATTAATTTGAAAATCTTAATAATCGCCTTACAGATTGAAGATCTTCATGCAAGTATGCAGAAATTTTTCTGCATCTTATAAAAGCGGTTCGTTTTCGTTGGTGTTATAATATTACAATTTTAAAATTAATCTATTTAAAATCTAATTATACATGAATTTATTACATAACAATTGCAAGTAACAAATAGAATCCTCGCTAATTTATGATTTCAATTTACAAATGTATTTTTGTTCAAATATTGGTAGAAAATATAGTCATAATGCAAGCATAGTTAATAAGAGTTAATTTCAGTTCTATGTAAATAATGTGGCAATTAATAGGATGATATTTTCCACTTGTAGTCTTGTAATTGATAGAGTTTTAAATATTGGACTTTAGAAATTGTGAAACTAAAAAATTTGAAAAAAGTGAAAATAAAAATGTGTAAATTTAAAACTTGAGAAAATTTGAGAATTTCAAAACTTAGATATTCGAAAATTTAAATCTAAAAATTTGGGATGTTTATCTAGGAGACTTCTAACTCGTTCGACTTCGAAGACTGTTCTGCTCTCTGGGCGGGTTTCGCACGGCCTTTTATACCCGCAGGTTTGTCAAATTCCTGGAATTTCTGTGACGTCAAAATATATAATTTTCGTATAAATTCGTGATTAGACATTAATTGTGAAAGCGAATAATTTAATTATATTGTTAACGTCGCACTTTAATTAATAGTTAACGTTTTGATACAAAAATAGTAGTCTAATGTTGTTTTAAAGATGTTACGGATAGAACTAGTCGAACAAGGCATTTCAGAGCATAAAATGAGAATTTAAAAGTGTACAGAAGATTTAACGAATTTAGCGGAGTTTTCGGGGGCGACTGGTCAAAAGCAGTAGTCATGGCGGGTTTCCATGCCTCGAAGCCCTACATGCACGGGGAAACCTGTGGCCGTATTCGTCTAGCATCATGAGTGTTTCGGCACGAAAAACACCATCATAGCACCGGGGGTAACCAATCCGCCCGGGAGTGGTGGTGCTCACCAAAACACCGAGGGCCACTCCGCTCGGGAGAGGTGAGAACTCGGGCGGGGGCGAACTTGCTTGCCCCGCGCTCCGGCTAGCTATCTGCGGGATCGGTCGCACTTGATGCCGATAGATAATTAATTTTTCTAAGAAATGTACACGTGCGTGGTGCACGTGGCAAATGGCACGTGGCAAAAGTGGCACATGGCATATGCTCTGAAATTCCATGTAAAACGCCAATTAATAAGTATTTGATCTACCGCGGAATGCTGGCGAACCTTGGTGCGCACTTCGGCAGAAAAGAAAGACACTCCTCGGCGACGTCTCCTGACGCGTAATTTTCCAGAAACGCGTACAAAGGTGCGGACCGCTCCGTTTGATGGCGGATACCGGCAAGTGCCGGCGCGACATCGGTATCGACGCGTGGCGTGGCGTGGCGGCTCGGCTGCAAAGGGCGGGTGGCATCGCGAGGTTCGGCTGTTCGGTCGTAGAGGGATAACCGCGAAGCCAAGGTCGACGGAGGGCACGTGGCAGATTTCGATGAAATCGGGTAGTTGCTAGGAGACGTCGTAGGGGAGTGAAACATATAAAATAAGCGAGGGCACCGGGGCCCACACTTCACTTTATATTTTGTCACTACGGGATTTACTTCGTATTTGCCAGTACGGACTGCACTTTATTTTGCCATTGCGCGTTTACTTCGTATTTGTCGTTGCGGACTTCATATTTTGACATTATGCAAAGACTTTCATTGCTTGATCAAATATTTCGTTACTTGATTGGAATACTGATACTTGATTTGATATTGTAAATCGTCAAATTGTTTTGTCTATCACTCGCTACAGGGCTAAATTATAATACGTTTGTTATGCGATAATCGAAATAAATTTGTGCGTTTTCACCGTTATAAAAATTGAATTGTTCTGATACAAACGAAAAATACATTTTCTGTCCTTTTCTATGAATTGCGCACGAATTGTACAAGGACCGGGTCTATACGTATAAGCATACACTGCTCGTGGAATTTTCCATAGTATAATATTCCGATTTACAGCTTTTTAGTTCAAGAAAATAATTTTGGTTCTGGCTATGAATAGTATAATGCTGGTTAACTTTATGTGTATTGATTGATTTAGTTAATTAATAAGTTTAATATCTAATAATGCTGTAAATAGAAATTATATCTCTATCCTTCTCTAGGATTTACGCTGGTCCCAGGAATTTTGAGGCGACGTCGTAGTACGTAGCGTCATGGAAATTGCCATAGAGAACTATACATTTATTCGAATGAAATAAAATAATACCCACGATATACCGACATTATACCGACGGTATCGACACGTTTGTTCACGACGACGATCGGCCGTCATATTCGAAACTTTCGCTCATGCTGTTGCGTGCCCGGTCTATG